AGATAGAAGCAAGAAGTTCTTTCGTGTGTGAGTCAGTCATGACATAACATGGCAGCCAGACAGAAAATGTGTTCAAAGGGAGTTTAGGGGTTTGGTTTTATTTTTAGGGAGTATTACTAAAGACCAGTGTAAGACTGATATTTATAACCCAATAGATCAGAATAGACTGATTATGTAGGAGAAGGAGTCACTACTTAGAGAAGCAAAGTCCTTGAGGAGGTGAGAAGGAGTGAGATATGGAGCACACGTGGTGGGCTGGCTTTAGATCGTGAGCTGGAGCAATTATGCTAAAAGAAGAGATGGCAGAAGAAATGAAAACAGATACAGGTGGTTTCGTATAACTGGAGATGCCGAGTAATGAATGAGTTCCAATAGCGTTGCATACATTTGCTCTTTGAGATACACTGTAAAAGAGAAATCGGCTGAAAAAGGAAGAATGGGCAATGAACTGTGGAGATTTGAAGTGAAAAGAGAAGGAGTTTTTAAAAAATGGTCTCAGTTAATGGGAATATTTACCAGGGAATAGCTGTGAATTCCCACAGTGGTGGTAAAAGGCCCTGTGACATTTTGGTGATGTACTTGAGGTGAATACTATGAGAAATGTGACGAAATTTTATCCAGTAAGCGGCTCAGGTTGAGGTGTGGAGTAAGATGAGAGAAGTTTAATCAGGGTTGGGGTTTTGCCAGGGAAGTAAAATGAAAAAAAAAAAAAAAATCACCAAAAAAACCCAGAGATATGTTAGGAGTGTTTGCAAGAGGATTGGGTATAGTGCTTGACCAAAGACTCTAGACATTTTCAAAATGTTGCAAGTGCAGAGTCATAGCTATTGAAAATAGTGATAGAGCGCATCGATTTAGAGCTTGAACAATTGGTGAAATAAGAAAACTACAGAAGCACTCAGCAAATAGAATGCAATGGTCAAAAGTGAAATAAAAACATTAGGGGATAGAAAAAAAATGGCAATAACAAGATCTAGGATATCATCATGCAAAGGGGGGTGGGCTAAATGGGGAAGAGAAAAATGCACTGACGCTAAAGGGACTGAGAAACTGACCGGTTAGGGTTTTGTCAAAAGCATGACTGATTTGGCTGAAGGTTTCCTGCACTTTAGCTCCTCGCCATCTAGTTTACATAGTCGCATTGAGAAGAAACTGACAGGTAGCCAATAGAAATCGAGAGGTAACTTCTTAATTTTTCTGCCTCCAGTCACTCATCACTCAGCGTTCATTTCTGGGTCGGAAAGACCCGGGCTGAATTGATCTGTGAAGACCTTGCACTAGTTCATTCAAGCTGGATAAATTGGAAGGCCCACCACAAGGGGTCCAAGGCTCCCCTCAGCAGCTTCCAAGTTTCCCACCAACAGAAGTTATATCATGACTTGTAGCTAAGCCTGTAGGCCGTGGTCCCGAGATGAATCTTAGCTCGGTGAGATCCAAGGCTTTCTCTCACACCCCTGCCAGAGCCTGTCCCCATGACTAAGCACTCAATAGACGGCTCCTGAGATTCCATCGATCTCCACAAGAACTAGAGAAAATGTGTGTAAAATGCATAGAAAAGTGAGCTTCAAATAAAAGGTGAGAAATTAATGATAGTTATTGTGAATTAATAAATATCTCACTTTTGAAGCTCACCATAATGACATCTGTTGGTTTAGCCTCATTAGAATTCACTGACATTTATTTTGGTAACAACTCCTCTGCTCGTTCTCACTTAGTCTAGGGAATTTGTTGCTGCGTGGGGCTGCTCAACTCTAAGACTCAGAGCAGCTGGCTGAGGCATAGATAAATGACAGGCGTTGCTCCAGTAAGAATCATCCCGGGGATTTCACTGGAACCAAGAGGAATGCTCTTCTTCCCTTAGGCCGCCAAGCCTGCCTGGAGTGTATCCATTAGGATGAATTTGGTTACAACAATCAGACACACTTAGCTTATCGAATAAAGGGAAAAAAAAATCTTACATAATATGAAATCCACAGGCAAAGAATTTGCCAAGGGCATATAAGCAGCATTTCTTTTGGCTTTTCTTCTTCCCTTTTTTTTTTTTTTTTTTTGTTTGTTTTGTTTCGGTTTGGTTTGGTTTGGTTTGGTTTTCCTTAGTCTATTTAGCTTCTGGGCAATAAAATGACTACATAAGTCCCATTATCCTATAATGTCATGAAGAGGCAAAACCCTTCTCTCTCTTGGGGTCTACTTTAAAGACTTAAGGAAGTTCCCAGAAGGCAGCCCAACATGTCAAAATTGCAACACGAGCCCATTCTTAAAACCGCCTCTGGTAGGGGAAGTGGGGCCACCAGGATTGACTTCAGTTAATCAGAAAACTCTCTTCCTTGTGCAGAAGTAGGTGTTTGCCAAAAAACCCAAAGCTGACAAACAAACCAAAACAAACAAACAAACAAACAACAACAACAAAAAAAAACAAACTGGGTTGGCAAGAAGGAACTATGTGCATAGCTAGGAACAGGCCATGACAGTCTTTGCTCAACGGCTGGGAATAGAGCCAGCACAGAAGAAAACAAGGGCGAAGTTTTGGGGGGCTGCCCACATGGGGCACTACTTAGGAATCTACACAGCACATGAACCAACAGACTTCTCTCATGTTTAAGCCCCGGATGAGCCAGGTTCTACCATCTGTACCAAAAGTTCACTGGCTAACACGCTCACTCAAAGCATTCTTCTGAATCCAACAGGTCTTTATTTTTATCCACGTGAACTACAAAAATCCTTCAGAGTCTCCTCTGTTCTATCAGCCGTTCTTAAACATCCTTTCCCCCCCTCCCCTCTTGCTTTTTCTTATGTTCAAGACTTGCTACTTTTCTGTGTCCATGGCTGCCTCTTAGAACCTTAACTATCCCTCATAACTAAAGCATTTGAAAAAAAAAAAAAAAAAACCTCAATTTAATATGGTTTCTCCTTCACTCAAACTCCAGAGCAACTCTCTGACTAATATTTCAATGTACACATGTAGTATACTAAGATTTAATATAAAATAGCCTTGTAGGGACGCCTGGGTGGCTCAGCAGTTGAGCGTCTGCCTTCGGCCCAGGACGTGATCCCGGGGTTCCAGGATCGAGTCCTACATCGGGTTCCCCACAGGGAGCCTGCTTCTCCCTCTGCCTGGGTCTTTACCTCTTTCTCTGTGTCTCTCATGAATAAATAAATAAAATCTTAAAAAAAAACAGCCTTGGAGATATATATTTTAATCATTCTTGTAATGTAGAAGAAAGCTGAGAGGTTAAGTGCCTTGCACAGTGCCTAGATTGGAAACTGGGTTTAAAACCAAGATCCACACTCTCCCTCCCTGTCTCTCAGGTACACCTCACTCCCCCACCCCACCATCCTGTGATCTCTTGGCTTGTGAATTGTGTCTTATTCTACTTCAGTTTCCTATGGCACGTGTATTATGCTTTGCACACAATACATATAGAATCACTATATTTGGTTAATTAAACTCTTTGGTTTTGCTGATTGGTCAACACACAGATATTTCTTTGTGTAAGTGCAGGTAGGCCAGTAGTATCTATCTTTTTAAAAGTACATCCCAGATATCAAAAGTAAATTCCAGATAGTTATTGCCACTAATTTGTACTGAGTCAGCCGTTCTATGCAGCCTCTACAGAACAAGCACAATCATTTAACAAAGAGAATGTTTCTGTACACAATTTTAATGAGTACCACATAGAAAGAAAAGATTGCAGGAAATTAATATCATTTACTGAAACCCAGAAGCTGAATCCTAGTTAAGACAATAGTATCTTCATGCTGTGAAATTAGGCAGGGAGAAATTATCATTAATAATATATTTATCTAGAGAATTAGTCAGATTTCATATGACTATGCTGCTTGAAATCTGAAGACAGAAGATGTAGAAAGAATTGTCAGTCCATCCTAAAAAAAAAAAATAGAATAAAATAAAAATAAAACTTGCAAAAAGACTAGGTTTTAAATCTCATTTGACCTTTGTCAGATAATGCCAGTATTAGTGACCTGTCCTATGAGCTCTTGCATACCAGAGAAAAGGAGGAAAGAGATACTTCTTTCTAGATACTGTGTCTGGAACAAAAGAAATAAAAGAGAAAAAAGTAATTTTTTCTTAAGGTCTTAACTTTATATGTTCATCATTCACGTATCCCAGCTCGTTGACTTACTGATGAAAAATATCTGTACCACATAATATAGTCAAAATGTATTTTCTTTAAATGAAATGTCTAAAATAACAATTCAATCACAATCTTTCATATTTTTTCTCATTTTCCTAAAAGATCTAAGACAATAAGCAAACCAACAATAACCCTTCAAAGCACATGAAAAGACTTCCTTCGCACACCCTTTACAAATAACATTTTTAGTGATTAATAAATGAGTAATGAGGAGGTAACAGCAATCAAACAGGAGATAAGAAACCATCCGTTCATTACGTGTCATTCCAGGAATTTGTGCTGATTGCAACATAGATGTCTGTCCGCATGCCTTCAAGTAGGGTGAGGCCTGTTCTACTTAAGCTCATCTTTGATCTGTTATTGGTCCTAAAGTAAAGTCATATTTTTTTGTTATAATTTTTTCATCTCTACAAGGTGTAGAGCCTCTGAATCTGATGGTCCAGTTGTGGTAAAATGGTACCAGTTGTGGTAAAATAGTCAAAATTGAACCATTAGCTCATGAGGGTGTTTTGATTGTGTGCTGTGTTTCAGGAAATCTGAAAATTAAATCATTCATAGAAAATGCTATATATCAGATTAGAATGTATAATTAGATGGATGTTTATAGGGATTAAATAGATAGATGGAGAGAATATCACAAGCCCTATCATCTTCCTCAACAACATTACATAATCTTTTTTCTGCACCAATAATATTTCCTAATATTCAGCTATTATCTTGTGACTGCATCAAAAGCGTAGAAAAAGATACCATTTACTAATCAAATTGAATGTCTTTTCCTTATCATCAGATGCCATTATTTATCTCAATCTCATTGACCTCCTCGGGTCTGGAAACACTTACTGTTCTTTGCAATAGCAGAGGAGAGTCTGTTCCTTCCTCTTTAAAACTTGATTCCATACCGATTATATCCTCAATAACGTCTTCCATCTAGCAAAATATAATACATTTAGAATACTGTGCATAATGATAAGAGTTGTGCTTCAGCCTAATTCAGAGAGAAAAAAATTTAGCAATCTTTAAAAGTTTTAAGGGCTATTTAAATTAAGGTTATATGTATATCAAAACCCAGAATACTTCAGAACTTAAAATGAAGAAATCCTGCCACTCTTTGATCTGTGCTCCTTTTCCATGCATTTGCTTCCACCAGCTGGCAGGTGATGGCTGGGCCAACCACCCTGGGCTAGTCCTTGGAAATCAGTATCTATAGAAATAGAGTGGTTATCATGAGGTGCCTCAAGCCAGAGCCCATGTACTTAACATGTAGAGAGATGACTTCCTACAAACTTTATTTTCCTTTTGAAATGTTTTGATTGCATCTTATAGGTGGATATTCAAACAGCAGTGGTCAAACCAGCTGATTGGTCTACATGGATACAAACTACGGGGAAACACATTATCCAACTTCCCCAAATGGCTAATAATAATAATAATAATAATAATAATAATAATAGCAATATCAACAAACAACAACAATCACCCACCCCTTTAATAGTAACAATAGCAGACGCATACAGTGCGGGGACAGGAGATGAGCCAGGCACTTTCTGTGTGCTTCACGTACACCAGCACATTTAACCTTCACAACAAATATGAAGTGGATACCATCATTACCTCTGTTGTACAAATGAGGAAACTGAGGGGAAGAAATGTGCAATAACTTGTTACAAAGCTGGTGAGTGACAAAGGCAGGATTGAAATTCTGGAAAATGGGCCCTAAAGTCCTACTTTATTTTTGGTTTATTTTATTAAAAAAATATTTTACTGATTTATTCATGAGAGACATACACACAGAGAGAGAGAGAGAGGCAGAGACACAGGCAGAAGGAGAAGCAGGCTCCATGCACCGGGAGCCTGACGTGGGACTTGATCTCAGGACCCTGAGATCATGCCCTGAGCCAAAGGCAGATGCTCAACCACTGAGCCACCCAGGCATCCCCTAAAATCCTACTTTAAATCAGCTTTTTACTCCCTTTCTCAAATTCCTTTCTAAAATAGCCTTCCTTCCTTTCTCTACTTTAGTTGGAGAAGATTTTAAACGTTTGCCTTTAAAAAAACAGAGGGAGGTAAGCCATTGAGACTGTTAGCCTTAGAGGAAAAATGGAGGGAGTTAGTGGAGGGAGGTGAGTGGAGGATGGCCAAATGGGGGGTGGGGGTGAAGGTGGGCACTTGTGATGAGCAGTGGGTGTTGTATGTGAGTGTGAATCGCTAAATTCTATTCCTGAAACCAATGTTACACTAATGTTAGCTAACTAGAATTTAAATAAAGACTTGAAACAACAAGAAATAGTTCCTCATCAAACATAAATAAATAAATAAATAAATAAATAAATAAATAAATAAATAAATAAATACTTGTATTTTAAAAATACTCTGATTGTTCCCCCCCTCCCCCCATTCTCTCTCTGGCTCTCGCTCTCCTCTCTCCCATTATATTCTCTTCAATGAAATTTTAAAATATGGTGTAGACTCCAAGATAATGAGAATGCTGAATTTATACAGCTGTAGTACTCTGAATTTCCTATAACATGTGCAGAAACAATGAGGATAAACTTGGAGAGATAGATAAAAACATTTTATGATTCTGTTAATGTTATCTTCTACGCAAGATTTCTGAGAACCTTAGAGAATCAAATATTCAGACTTCCACTAAGATACTCCTAAAGTTGATATGCCAAAAAATTGGAACGCGCTTTAGCATTAATTTAACAAAAATTTGTGGAGCAGTATTTATTGCAGGACCACGCTGTGAGTGGTTTTACTAGAACGGTAGAATTTACTAGAACGGTAAAAGCAAGCAGCACAAAGTCGCTGCCCTCTTGGAGCTCTAACACTAATGAGGAAAGAGACAATAAACGGCTTAATAACAAATGGTGGTCTGAAGAAATTAAAGCAGGTAGGGGAGAGAGCTTAACGGGGATGAGTGTTGCTAGAAATGGTCAGAGAAGGGCTTACTGATATTTGAAAAAAAGACATGAACAACATGGCAAAGAGTAGTCTTGGAAAGGAAGCAAAAATGTCAAAGATCTTAAGGTTGGAATGTGAAGGTTAGTCAATGGGAAGGGAGCAGGAGATAAGTTTGAGACGAAGTTGAAAAGTATGCTCTCTAGGTTGCAAAGCCCTCTAGCCCAGTGGTGTCCCCCAACAATTTCTGCAAGCATAGGAATGTCCTACATCCGCACAGTCTAATACCATAGCAACTAACCACATGTGGCTACTGAGCACTTGAAATGTAGCTAGTTTAACTGAGGGATTAAATCTTCCTTTCTCAAGTTTTTATTCAAATTCCCAGGCTCAGAATTAAGTTTTTTTTTATCTCATTCAATTTTTAAAGGCTTTATTGAATTTGAATTAATTTAACATTAAATTTTAAATAGCCACATGTGGTTCGCGAGTACCATCTTCAAGGGTGCGGGCTCTTGACAATGATCTGGATTTTTTAAATAATTAATTAATTTTAATTTTTAAATTTGAGTACAGTTGACACACAATGCTACATTAGCTTCTGGTGTACAACGCAGTGATTTGATGAGTCTATATGTTATGCTCACCGCAAGTGTAGCTACCATCTGTCACCATGCAACACTATTATAATACCATCGAGGGCATTCCCTATGCTGGGCCTTTATTCCCATGATTTATTCATTCTGTGACTGAAAGCCTGTACTTCACACTCCTCATCACCCACTTTGCCTATTCTCCACTCCTATTCCCTCTGGCAATCATCAGTTTGTTCTCTGTATTTATAGGTCTGATTATGCTTTTTTTGTTTGTTTATTCATTTGTTTTGTTTTTTGGATTCCACATATGGTCTGGACATCAGATGTTATTGCATGTGCATAGAGACATTGTTAAAGGATCTAGGGTAATAAATATGCATATTTTGTTTCTTTGGTTTAGCATAGTCCATGAAAGTTTTAAAATATGTTCTTGATTGTTACTAAACTCAGAGTTTAATTTCATGATGTTTCTCTCATTCACATTTATCATTACATGGACAAACAAATTTGTACTGGACAAATGTAAAGAAGACCTGAGGAAAGAAGGATGCTAAACACAATTTACGATAAATGCTTTTCTTTGGAGTATCTCTAGTAGTTTCACCAAAATTATATATATATCATTTTTCCCCTTTCTTCCCAGAAACTTGCATCCTAAATGACTCACTCTCCTGCATCTTTAATTTTTCCCTGTTGTCAATAAACATAGGTTTCTCCTATTTCACTAGAAACCCTTTCTTTCCTACATGTGAAAACCCATCCTCCTTGGAGGCTCTTCTTTGCTTCTCTAACACATCTATCCTTCATTTTTGTCACCCACTGACTTGACTAATTTTGCCCCCAATTTATTGAAGACATTGGTTCCTCCATTATCCTAAATTGATTTTAATAGCTAAAATCCATTCAAAACCTTCCTTCATAGCTTCCAGGAATGTTCAAAATTAATCAAACCTAGGAATCCAGTTGTTGTCTCTAAAAAGACAATAAACACAACATTTTATATTAGATGAAACAGAAATAATATATTAGACAAAAGAAGAATTACAGATCAGCAGAATAAGCATCTTCAAAATGGTAAATGAAGATAATAAAATAAGAAGCAAATTATTTAACTAAAATAAAAATGGAGATAATAGGTATGTGAACTATGAGATTTGAAGGCAATAGAACATTTATAAGATTTGACACGTTTAAAAATAAACATCTACAAAAGACCAACAATGAAAGTTTTCAACAACACTGGGTACATGAAGAAAATGGGATAATAATTGAAGTATTAAAGGTAAAGAACTGGGGAATCCCTGGGTAGCTCAGTGGTTTAGCACCTGCCTTTGGCCCAGGGCGAGTCCCACGTCCGGCTCCCTGCGTGGAGCCTGCTTCTCCCTCTGCCTGTGTCTCTGCCTCTCTCTCTCTCTCTCTGTCTCTCATGAATGAATGAATAAATAAAATAAAATAAAATAAAAAGGTAAAGAACTTTGAACCTGGACATTTATAACCAGTAAAATATCCTTTAAGTATGTGGGGTGAAATAAGATTGTTCTAAGGAAAAAAAAATTGTTCTAAGGCAGAACTCAGAAGTTTTAAGGCAAATAGCCTTTGAAAAACTCTTCCAGGAGGTACTGCAGTTAGATGATAAATATGACTATGAAATCTGGGGCACCTGGGTGGCTCAGTGGGTGAGCATCTGGCTTTGGCTCAGGTTGTGATCCCGGGGTCCTGGGATTGAGTCCTGCATCAGGCTCCTTGTAGGGAGCCTGCTTCTCCCTCTGCCTGTGTGTCTGCCTCTCTCTGTGTGTCTCTCATAAATAAACAAATAAAATCTTGGGTAAAAAACACTATAAAATCTATACAAAATATAAGAAAAATGAATAAATAGGGGTGCTTGGGTAGCTCAGTTGGTTGAGTGTCCAATTCTTGATTTCTGCTCAGGTCATGATCTCAGGGTTATGAGATCAAGCCCCATGTAGGGGCTTCCTGCTCAGTGGAGAGTCTACTTTTCTCTTCCTGCCCCCCCATAGGCATATGTACATGTGTGCGCAAGTGCTCTCTTTTTGTCAAATAAATAAATCTTAAAAAAAAGAAAAAGAAAAATGAGTGAATAAAAGTAAAATTTTTGTAGCCTAAACAAGAATATAGATAGACAGAGAGATGAGGGAGGGAGGGAGAGAGAGAGAGAGAGATACTATAAATCTCAATACAGGGAGATAAGTGAGAACAAGAAGATAAGATCATATTCAGGAAGATTTTTACTTGAGGGTATGACATAGACCTAGTTAAACAATGATATAGATGCAGAAAAATATAACTATGTACCTTAAAAAGTTAGAGCAACAAAAAAAACAGAGAAAAACTTAACCTGTTCAATGGAGGATAGAAAAAAATGGCAAATAATGAAATATAGGCATTTTAAAACATTAAAAGGGTAATAAATCCTAATAGTAATAACAAGAATGTAAGTGAACTAACATACTACCTCAAGAATCTAGGTGTTGTATTATTAATTAAAATAAAAAAAAGAAAAGAAAAAAAAGAGAGAAAGCTGAAAATAAAGTGAAAAGATGTACCACAAATATGACCAAAAGGAAATCACAGTTGCAATGCTATGCCTAATGGCTGTATAAAATTCAAGATAAAATCTTAAAGGAAAAGTAATACCAAGTGATCAGAAATTCACGTGCCCTTAAAAATACCTACAGCAACAACTTGTCAGAATTCTACAGAAAAATAAATCAACAATTGTAGTTGAATATTTTAACTCGCCTCTCTCAAAATCATAAATCTGAATTTAGCCTTCTCTTTACCTATTCTTTAGCCAGGCCTTGAGTCTTGTCATCCTCTAAACCACTCCATTTCTAAAATCCTAAATTCCATTATCTCACTCATCAGAACACAAACTTCCTTGTAGATCCAATCTAGACCCTGTTGCAGATCAAGTAAACAATTTTCAGTTTACCACTCTCTGTCTTTGCCTTATTATCTTTCCAGTCATCCCAAACATCCCAGGTTGCAACCTCTCCACCTCCTGTCAAATGGTTTCTGCCCACCATCCTGTTGAAATTCCTTTTGTTGTTATTTTCCTTGACTGCTTAACAGCCAGATTGAATAGATATGTATCAGCTCTTATTTCAGTAGACTTGGCTGCTACGCTTGAGTGTATAGTTCATTCCCTCCTTCTTTATACTAATTCTTTCTTTGGCTTCGATGACACCCCACTGGCTATCTTTTTTATTTTACCTTGACAGTCTCTCCTCTGTGACCCCCCCCCCTTCAATATTGTTGATGGCTCTATCCCATCCTTGGTTCCCTGCTCTCCTGACTTGACTTTATTCATGATCTCCAGGAGCTCTCTTTCTCACTTGAGCTTTTAAGTATTCCCCATGTGCTGTCAACTCTCAAATCTCTTTTTCTGGTCTAGATTACTCTCCTCAAGGTGAACTTGGATCTCTAGCTGTTACTGGCATCTCCACATGGTGGTCTCCCACATACCTCAACTCTAACTCTCAGCTGGCCCTCTCCCTCCTGGATGCATTCCTCTTCTACATAGAGGACAGAATATTATGGTCAAATCTGATTATGTCACTCTAGCCCCCACAGTTAAACCTTTCAAGGATTTGAAATCGATTGACATGGATTCTGTGATTTGTCTATTGTCGTCATCTCTTGTCACCTTATGTGCCACCTGCCTCTCTTTTTCTGCTCACGCCATTTTCTGCTGTTCTCCACCTTTATTCTTGTTTTTTAAAAATTTTTTTTAAGATTTGATCTATTTATTCATGAGAGACACAGGGAGAGAGAGAGAGAGAGAGGCAGAGACACAGGCAGAGGGAGAAGCAGGCTCCATGCAGGGAGCCCGACGTGGGACTCGATCCCGGGTCTCCAGGATCAGGCCCTGGGCCGAAGGTGGCGCTAAACCGCTGAGCCACCTGGGCTGCCCCCTCCACCTTTATTCTTTACTCATGCTCCCTAATCTGTGTAAATGCCCCCACTAGGCACTTTCTCTAAGTCTTACTATGGACATTTCTGAATGAAAACAGCATTTTCATGCTCCTATCTATACCATTATCCTTTCTACATAATATTATAATTATTTGCTGACTTTTTTTTTCTCTTCCCCTCAACCTATAGCTTCTAGGAGGTACAGCAGATAAGAAAACAAGAAAATGAATAATTAAGAGATAGTATGTGCTGTGAAAATGCTGTGTTGAATAATACAATTTTTATCCACATGACACAGGTGTTACTATGAGAAGTCCGAGAATAAGTGCTCATCCACACAGGGAACCACTAGTAAAAGCTCCTTAGAGAAGAAACATGAAATGGATTTTGAAGAGTTAGAATAATCTAGACAAATGGTGGAGACTGGATGAGTAGCTGGTAAAGAAAGGACATAAGAAGAGAGAACCTGGTCACTGTGAGAATCACCATATGGCTGAACCCATATGCCTGAAGCACAGAGTGCAATGGGGCAGCTGAATGAGAAGTTGAGTCAGGAGGCCAGGGTTAAATAGGAAGGGTCTTGTGTGCCATGAATACAAATTTTATCCCGGAAAGGCCTAGGCTATAAAAAGTTTCTTTTGATTTTATATTTCACTGTGTCAGAGACCCTTAATCACCACGTTCCTCCTAATACCAATTCCCAAATCCTGACTCTAAGGATGCTCTCACAGACTTATTCTGTGGTAGCTATGATTTCTGAGATCTTCTTTGAATTAATAAAATACTCTATGATGTCTCAGGAAGACAAGCATAGGAGAAAGAAACACCAAAGGATGGCAACAGCCACCATCTCCTGAGCCCCCACTCTGCCTTTGTGTTAGCAACTTTAAAAATGCAAGCATCAAAACAACTCTTCAAGTTGTAGGAATGCTGGGAAGAGAGAGGTTAAAGACTGAGACCATGCAGCTAGTAAGTGGTGGTTCTAACCCCATATGGTCTGACTCTAAAGACTGCACACTTGCTGCTTTGTGACATGGACTCCTAGCATGAATCAAAGAATATTAGGAAATTGCAACAACATAGGATACATCTTAGCTATGAAAGATAACAAGGCTGTGCATGGTGGCAGTATGTGAAAATGTGCACGTGGTAAGTCGACCTCAAAGAGAACTCACACTGATTAAAACAATAACGCGTTGAATAAAATTATGATTAAATAGACATTAATGATAGAAGAAACTATATACACATAGTTGAAAGTATAATGGCTTAAAAAATAGAAAAAAAATTCTGTAACCAACGTACACATTGCCCCTAGAGCTCTGCACCTCTTGGGGCTTTCAGCCCTTCTCAGCAACTCCTTTTGACTAGCACCACCTGAAAGACCACTAAAATCACATCAATTCCCTTTATAATGTAAAAACTATTATAAAAGAAAAGGTAAGCTGTGTGCCTAGGGAATAAAAACATTTACTAAGAAAAACTGAGAACACTGATATAGATATATTCCTTATCCTTTCTTATTTTTTAGAAAACATATTTCATAAGATACATAATAAGATCATATTCTGGGTTTTGCCTGGAACTGACTGGCATATGCATATCCTTTGGGATTTGTTTTTTCCTTTAGAAATCAGTCTTCCACACAATGCAATGAACTTTGGAAAGGTGGTTGTAAGATAAATTGTATGGGTTGAGTTCTAATATTTACTATATAGATGATTTTCATTCTACATATATTTTTATGCTCTTCATAGAGTGAATAGAGAAACTAACTCTACATTCATTTTTTAAAAAATTCTTTATATATCCACCCATTGACAGTTATCAGTAGATAACACATATAGAGATTTATGCTCAGTGTTGGATTTCAATGAGTCCCGTTTTGTGGTTGTTTTACATTTTATTAAACAGTCTACCAGATACTTATTATTCTCCCTTTTCCAGATTAACATAAAATGTGCAAAAAATGAAATCTTCCTCTACCACTTGGCATTCACATAACGGGGTACTGAGCATTAATCTTTGGTGACTGAAGGCTACAAACTTCATAGCTAAAAAGCAGCGACCTGAAATCAGTAATAATCATCAGGAATGTAGATTGGGAGATTAAATGTGGGAGATCATAGGACCGTGGCTCCCTCTGACAAATCAAATGGGATAAAAAGAAAAGGAAAAGAATAGAAAGCTCAGCTACAAATGTAGTTTTTCTACACTGAAATATTAAAGAAAATCTTTCCCCCAGTTCTGGTAGTTTGCCAATTCAATTCATTCTTCAGTGCTTTTCAAAATTTCATTCACAAGTGGGTCACAATAAACATAATAAACATATCTTCCATGAAGGTACACATTCTTATTCATTTTGTATCCCTCACACCTCTAAATTCCTGTTATTTAGTAAATGGTAGACAAGTATTTGTTGAAAATAGAAATAAATGAATAATTAACAGTAAGAAATCCAGATATAATTCCATAAAATATTAAGTGCAGTAAGATTTTTTTTTATTTTAGAGCGCATATTGACTGCTATTTAAACAACTTCTTCCTGTTTTATTTTAATGCGTATTTAAGATAATATAACTATTGATAAACATTTTAACTAAATATTCCAGAAAATCTTTACAAAGCTAAATCTTCCTAACATAAATTACTGTTAGAGCCGATTTTGATTCACGTTGAGATACAACTGAAATGAGGTATTAAGAAATGAGTTGTTATATTTCATTATATATTGTAATTAATATGTGCATAACTAATTATTATAAGTGAGTACATTAAGACATCCTTTTTGTTAAATGCATTTGCATTTGGAACGTTTACTATAAAAATGTAGACTTTAATTTCTTTAAATTTTTAAAAACTGATTATATATTTTCATAAGTAGCTATTAGACATACATGCCATTCCGCATTGTCATCTTCTTTCCCAAGAGTTAGTAACTTGGTGAGTGGATTTCCAGTAAGGCCAGTGTCACTCTCAGGAGACTGGTGTCCATGCTGTACCAGAAGCGCACTGTTTGGTGTTGGAGGGTGTGACCGTTTAAGAGTCTGGTTGACAATCTGGTAGTCAAGGGTCATGAAGGGTTTTACTTGTTGTCTTTGGACTTTCTGTAGCTGGGACTTCGTAGGACTTTCCAGATGTGCTGAGACCTACAAAATAAAACCAAACAAATATCATGGGTAGTATCATCTGGTGAATCAGAGTTACATTTTCAAGAATTGAATTATGATGATAGACACACTACAGCATCCACTTCTTTCAGATTTATGGTTTATGCTTCTGTCATAATTTGCATAAGATATTAATAGATGATAGTTCTTTTTAAAAGATTTCATTTATTTATTCTTGAGAGACACACATGAGAGAGAGGCAGAGACACAGGCAGAGGGAGAAGCAGGCTCCATGCAGGGAGCCTGACGTGGGACTCGATCCCGGGTCTCGAGGATCACGCTCTGGGCTGAAGGCAACGCTAAACCACTGAGCTACCCGGGCTGCCCTAGATGATAGTTTTAAGAAGTAATTTAAACTTACTAAAATATTTTCAATGCTAATCAAGTTTTTAAGAATAGCTCTCAAAATAACATGTAACTGAACCAAAATTTGGAATAAATATGTAAGTAGCAATACTTTTTGAGGTTCTAGAAAAGGAAGTCTAAAATAACACAAGGAAAATATAGCTGACTCACTACTGTTAGTAATTTTCATATACTTTATATTTCTTGGATTTTTTTATATTATATATAAATATTCCATGGGACATAATCACAACTATTTTTATTAAATATTTTAAAAATTATCCATGATGGAGCAGAAACTAGAAATATATATACTAAGTATGAAGTATGATGCTTTATGGGTAGTGAAAATCTAAGTGATTTTTTTCCATACTTTTTGAAATTTCTGTGATAGACTTATTTTTATTTTTATTTTTTTAAAAGATGTATTTATTTATTTGAGAGAGTGAAAGAGAAAGAAAGAAAGCACCAGCAGGGGAAGGGGCTGACAGAGAGGGAGAGGGAGACAATCTCAAGCAGATTCCCTGCAGAGCGTGGGCCCACTTGGGGCTCAATACCAGGGCGCTGAGATCATGATGTGAGCTGAAATCAAGAGTCAGATGCTTAACTGACTGAGCCACCCAGGCATTCCCTATTTTTATTTTTAAAAATCTTATTTTTAAAAGCACCTGGCTTGATCTTTTTTAAAAAACATTTTATTTATTTATTCATGAGAGACACACACAGAGAAGCAGAGACACAGGCAGAGGGAGAAGTAGGCTCCCTGCAGGGAGCCAGATGTGGGACTCGATCCCGGGACCCCAGGATCATGCCCTAAGCCAAAGGCAGACACTCAACCACGGAGCCACCCAGGTGCCCCACCTGGCTTGATCTTAATCTCAGGGTTGTGAGTTTGAGCCCCGTGGTGGGTGTAGAGATTACATAAATAAATTCATAAATAAATAAATAATCTTACTTTTAAACCTTTCCATATTCTCACTTAATAATAATTGTGTAGACCATTATGAATTGAAGGAAGCATTCAGAGAAAAATCTGACTGGTGCCATGTGCCAACTGGACAACTGTCCAGTAGTCTGAAATCCCTTTTAAAAACAAGCCTTAAAATTCTGGTTAGTTATCACAGTTAACAATATAACATCAATTGCATAAGTGCAGTTTTAAGTATGTCAAGCTTTTCCTTTAAAAGACTCTGAAGGTAGTTTTGCCTGCCAGTCCTCTTTATATTTACTATGCTGTGATGTGGCTTCTAATACATTTTCCTCAAGTGGCCTATATATAAACCTATTTAATATTTCCCTCATGTTAAACAATAGTAAAGATTGCTGTACAGTGCTTATTTTTCCTTTTATTCAGCTACACAAACTACTCCTTAAATCCCTTAACATGCATTAGCCCAGATAAATAGCCTTTACAAAGTATTTTGCATTTAAATTAGCTGGTTTGGGGTACAATATTGTAGTAGTTACTTTAGTTTAATTCTGTTATGCTGACATTTTTAGCATTATTTTAATTGTACTACCATAAAATAATTTTTCAGTCATATAAAAAAGATTAAGATTGGTAATAAAGATTACACATATTACTAATTATATTGCTATGAGCTTTAAAGTTGTAAAATAACATTTCATTAAAATGCCAGTGATAATTTTTTTAGGGTAGCTATTTAGATTATCTTACAGTTTTAGTTAATCCTTCTTAATCTGTATACATTTACAAAATGTACATTATAAATAGTGTCTTCGGATTTATGAATCACACAATGTAATTGAAGACTAAAGAACATTGTATCCCTACAAATGAAAAATACCTCTTGTTCTAAGAAAAGTATGTGGAATCAGAATTTACAACATTCATTAACTAATTCATTTTTTACTTTTCATCCATTGACTCTAAGAGCCTTCATTAGAGTACTTATTGCATTTGCTGTTACACCAAGAGTACAAGAGGAGTCGTAAATGTGATCCCAGGGCTCTACAGGCTTACGATCTAGTTGGACAGTATTAATATCAACTACAGTAAAAGCAATAACGATAATAATAATTTGCAACAGGTAGCAGGCACTGTACTAAGATATTTACATTATTTCATTTACTTTTTGTTACAACCTTAGGAGGGAAGTGTCATTTAATCCCTACTGTACTATGTAGATGAAGCCACAGAGACAGAGAGGTTTAATAACATGCCTCTCATCACTCTGCTAGCAAGGGATAGAGCTGCAATGCAAGAGGCTGCCTTCCTAAACACTACGCAATAATGGCTTTTGAGAAAGTAGTTGAAATGACTGGAGAGCAAAGGAAAAGCTCAGTGGTGTATACAATGAATTAAAAATGCCACAAAGGAGTGCCCAGGTGGCTCAGTCAGGTAAGTGTCTGCCTTCAGCTCTGGTCATGATCCCAGGGTCCTGAGATGGAGCCCTACATTGGGCTCCCTTGCTTAGCAGGGAGTCTGTTTCCATCTGCCCCTCACTCCGCTGCCTCTCTCTCTCTCTCTCTCTCTCTGTCTCTCTCTCTCTCTCTCAAATAATAAAATAAAATCTTAAAAAAATAATTAAAAAATAAAAATGCCACAAAAAGCAGTTGATTTTAAAAACACAATTATAAGAGAAAGTGGTTATAAATTGGGTGTTGGAAGGAAATGGTCCTGCACAGGGGCAAAGGGAAGGAAATGTCAAATGCAAAAAAATCAAACAAAACAAGAAAGAAGACAAGAAGCTGTGAGATGCTCACAAATGTTAGTTGCAAAAAAGAACTCAAATGAATCCATTTCCTTCCTCAGAGCAAGACTACCATCTCCTCTGTAGGCCACTGTATACAGAGACAGAGTAAAGTATAAAATGGATCAACTCTAATTTTGCCTAAATTATTGAGGTCTTCTATAGAGAATTACAATGGGTGAGGACCATCTGGGATGCCATCTATGGAACATCTGCAGAGTAGGCATAAGGGACTAGAAGCTTAGTGGAGCAGGGAAAGATTCAATGGAATGTGCAAAAACTACTCCCCAGAAAACCTCCATCTTCTCCAGTCAGGAACTGATATCAGAACAACGAGACAACGGAGCGTAAATCAGCAGCCAAACCATGTGTGGCCTACTTTAAAATACTTTTAAATTGTCTGGCATCTGCAGACATAACCATTAAACTATTGGATTTGTCTTATGGAAGTCCCAGGATTTTGTGAGATGAAGTAGATGAAATGACAGGTTGCCATTGTTCATTTATCCACTTATTTAAGAGATGTTTTTTGAGTGCCAAGTGTATGTGCACTAAAGGCAGAAGGGAAATAACCACGGTGCCTGCCTTCATAGAGTTGCAGTCTCATCAGAGATTAGAAAGGGAAGAAAAATATGAGCCCTGTAAGGGAAAGGACTGTGACTCTCTTGCTGACTGTTTTACTGCCATAAATCTCGCACACAACCCAGAGGAGGGCACATAGCAAGTGACTAAAAATGTGTTCACATATGTTCAATGAATGACCAAATGAGTCATTCAAGTAATTGAAGTACAGTGTTTGAATAACTATGGTGACCACAGAGAGCTTTGGGAATCTACTAGAAGAGTTGGTAAGCCATAACCAGAATATCAAAGTCTTCGCCTAGAAAGCTGGAGCAGATGTCAACTGTGATTTGGTGCACTGGACTGTCAAAGAGGTTGAGACCATCTAAATGTAATGAAATTTTGCTTATAAAAACAAGTAAAAAACGAATAGAACTCAGTACTGTGCTCGAACATTCACTCTGATATGCTGCTATTGCAAACTAAACATAATGAGGGGCATGTTAAGTCTAAGGTTCTGTCTATATGCAGAAATCTGTTGTATCACACTTAAAAGAATGCATTTACTCATAATCCCCCTTATTTTCTAAAACATTATAAATAAATATAAAGTGTGAATGTGGTAAGAGATATTCATACCAGGAAATGTAGGCTGAAGATTAATATTTCAACTGAGCATAGAAATTTACCCATGAGCATCCTGGCAGCCAAGGAAAAAGGTAAATTTAAGATATATATATATATATATATATATATATATTAATATTATACATATATATATGGTGGAACCTTGTGATATTGTAGACATTTGAGTATTTTTGATCTATAAAGTATCAATTCCCTATGGCTCAACCTAATATATATTTCCTATTAAGTAATTAGATCATATCAGTTCTGAGGAAAGACAAATATTTTTACAAATACTATCTGAGGATTTACAAACTGGGTTTTTTTTATGGAGGACTTGAACAAAATCCCGATAACAGTTTTTATAAAATAAGCCATGAAATTTTCCAACTGCCCGTATCTAAAAAAAAAAATTACTGTCTTAAGTTGGGTTACCCAGGAAATATACTCTGAAGCTTGCCTGGAGAAGGTTTGTTGGGGGTAGGGGGTGACTTCAGAACCTGAATCAGGGTAGGGTGAAGAAAGAGGCAGGCAGACAGAACAGTGGCTCAGTTGTGAAGGGGATCATCTAGGCAATGCATCGTAACATCCACTACGTTCATTTCTGATGAAAGGCCCAAAGCATGATATGCATCAGCTCCAGTGAAAAGCCCAAATACATAACCTTGTGCCAATCTGACTGGACCCTTAGATAGTATTCACAGTCTCCAGAGCAATTTGCACTGCAGATAC